GGTCTTGAGGGCTTGATGTTAACCAAGTGGCCATCTAGCAGAGAAGCAACAAGCCCATATTGGGACCAGGTTAAAGACATCAGAAGACCCCAAACAAACAAAAAAACAACCCCCCCCCATATTGTTGAGAATGAGGAGGGTTGGGGCATCTGTAGATAATGGGACATCCCCTCACCGAAGGGTCACAAGGAAGGGTTGAGTCAACCAGGGCTCAGTAAAGCACTGATAAAACACACAATATTCCTCTGGTTCCTTGAGGTTTCCTTACCCCCCACTATCATGACCCCAGTCCTACCTTTCACTGAGGGCTAGTCCAGAGCACGTGCACAGGTACAGATAAGAAATAAGAGCTCATGACACACAGAATCCAGGAGCAGGAATTGGAGTAGTGATACAAGGTGGGTAGAGAAAAGGTGGGACAGGAGGGGAGGGAGGGGGAACCAATCGTAATGACCGACATATAACCACCACTATTTCAAGGACGAACAACAGAAACTGTGGGGGAAGGGAGACAGCAGCTGGTGTAAGATATGAAAATAATAATAATTTATAATTTATCAAGGGGGCACGAGGGTGGGAGAGAATGGAGGGAAAAAAGAGGAGCTGATACCAAGGGTTCAATAGAAAGTAGATGTCTAGAAAATAATGATGGCAACATATGTACAAATATGCTTGATACAATTGATGTATGGATTGTTATAGGAACTGTAAGAGCCCCCATAAAAGGATCTTTTAATTAAAAAAGAAAAAAGTTTCTCACGTTTGGTTGTACATCATGAATGGTATCATCAATGGCACTGAAATATACATGTTCAATTGGAGAATGTTTTGTTGTGCATATATTTGCCAGGGGACATGAATTTTCCCAAAAAAAACCAGAGGAGGGCCAACTTGTGGGGTCAGCTTTGCTCTCACCATCCAGTGTCATGGTTCAAAGAAGCCCTGGTTCTTTTGTTCTTGTTGGTTTATTCAGCAGAGGGCTAGGTAACTCTGGTGTGCCTTTAGTTTATTCTTACAACGAGATGAAGTTTATGAGTAGAACTTATGCCTCTTTCAGGCTTTTGCATTTTGTCTCCTGTCCTCTGTGGTTTATAGGCCACAAGAGCCACAACCTAGGTTTCAAAGGGCTTGGTAAGAGCCAGACTGCATTTCTCTGCTTTCTCTAAGTTCCTGCTCTCACTTAGATTTTGATCACACACTTGCTGGCTCATGGACCATGTTAGGCAGAATTCTCTAGAGAAACGAAACCAGGACACTTATGATTTTATATATATATATATATATATATGGATAGGTTTATACAGTGAGAAAGAATGTAACAGCTAATTAGTTCACACAGCAGTACAATGGGTTCAGTTCAACTCACTTCTGTGGAACAGTTAATATATTGGAAGTCCTTTAACTCACATGGGTTGCCGGGTCTTCTCTCTCGGGCAAGGCAAGCAGAGTCTGCCCACAGGCAACAAACAGTAGGGTGGGCCACCAACAGTCAATAGCTTGGAAGCTTAGCGAAGCAGGCCTGGATGAGATATCGAATGCATATAATGCAAGGCGACAGGATCCACCAGCCTCAAGCTCAAGTAATGTACACACCAGCAGCGTGGCAAAGCAGGTCTGAAGGCGTCTCAAGGTCTAGGGACATGATCCACGGGTTGGCCTGCCCACAGGTAGTGTAGCTCACAGGTTGAGGCAGAGAATTAACTAAAGCAGTAGTACGCTCCAGCATGCTCTGATCACCAGAGAGCAAGACACAGGAGGGCAAGCCTTGTTGAGCCATTTATTTTTTTGCCCTTCAATCAAACTGTGACCTGATTATTCTCTCATGTTCCAGGTTGGCACAACGTATCACATGGATGCTACTTAAAAGATAGTTTGTATACAACATTGATTTTCATTTTCTCCAAGGACAGTGCCTACCTCACTCTCTAATCTGCTATTCTGCCTACCCAGGCTATTTCTATCTACACTTACAGCTACCGCTGGGGAAGCAATCAGTCCCAGGGATAAAAGAAAGAACCCGAGGTCCTTCTCAGGTCTGGCACACAAATGTCCAAGGCAATACAGAGTCAGAATCACATTGTGTTTGGAAACGTACATAACTTATTAAAGGGGGGTGGTCAGATGGCAACACACAATATCCTAGTCACCTTAAAAACATTCATCCATGGACATCGAGTCAATTCCAACTCATAAACCAAACTCAAACCAAACTCACTGCCACGGAGTTGATGCCAACTCACAGCAACCCAACCAGACAGGATCAAACTAGCCCTGTGGGTTTCTGAGACTGTACCTCTTTATGGGAGTAGAAAGCACTCTGTTTCTCAGAGAGACTGGTGGTTTTGAACTGCTAACCCTACATGTAATCACTGTGTCACTAGGGCTCCATTCCAATGAATAGTGACCCCACGAGAGAGCAGAAGTGCTTCCTACGTTTAAAAACAAAACAAAACCCCCTTACTGACATCAAGTTGATTTGGACTCCTAGAGACCCTATATAGGATTTCTGAGACTGTAAATCTTGATGAGACTGACTCATTATTCTCCCTTGAAGCAGCTGTGGGGTTTGAACTGCTGGCCTTGTGGTTGGTAGCCCAACACAACACTTGCGCTCCCTGCCATCAAGTTGATTCTAACTCATCGCAGCCCTACAGGACAGAGTAGAACTGCCCCATTGAGTTTTCAAGGCTGTAAATCTACAGGAGCAGAGAGCCTCATCTTTCTCCCACAGAGTGGCTATTGAGTTTGAACCAAGGACCATATGATCACCAGCCCACTACACCACCAGGGATTTTTTTGTGTATGTCATTTTTTTATTGTAAATTGGGTAAAAGTTTACAGAGCAAATCAGCTTTCCACTAAATAATTTAGATATTTTTTCTCATCTCACTGATTGTAATCCCCATAATAAAATATTATCTCACTTTCTCCCACTGTTTCCAGCTTCCATTCCTCATTCCTCCCTAGCCTTGGGCACAACATGCTACCCTTTTGATCTCAAATGGTTGATTATTTTCTGGGAGTTCATACTACCTTAGTGTTACTGTTCCCTTTAGAGCAGTGGTTCTTAACTTTCCTAATGCTGCGGCCCTTTAATACAGTTCCTCATGTTGTGGTGACCCCAACCTTAAAATTATTTCCGTTGCTACTTCATCACTGTCATTTTGTTACTGTTATGAATCATAATATAAATATCTGAAATGCAGAATGTATTTTCATTGTTACAAATTGAACATAATTAAAGCACAGTGGTTAATCACAAAACATGTAATTATATAGTGTAAAATATTTATGTTTTCCAATGGTCTTAGGTGAGCCCTGTGAAAGGGTCATTCGACCTCCAAAGGGGTCACGACCCACAGGTTGAGAACTGCTGCCTTAGAGACTTCTCCTTTGTTCAGCTAAAAATTGCACCAGGCCTTGGATATTTAACTCTGGCATCATTCGGGCAGGGAGTTATGATTCCATGAAAGTGTCACTTCAAACTAAAGACTTACCATGAAACATTCCCAAGTTGCAAACAGAAACAAAATCAAAACCAGACACACACCTTTCCACAGTAGCATAGCACTGATGCCTTTTTCTGGCCGACAAAATCGACCTTCCAATACAACCATCACATTTGGAAGTATGAGGTCAATGTAACGTCATCTGTTGGATACCTGGAATTTGGTATGGAATTTTAATGTGGCAACAAATAGTGGATGAGACCACACCCACTGCTGTGGAGTCAATTCTGATTCAACAGCGACCTAGAGTTAATTCCAAATCACAGAAGCCCTGTAGACAGAGTAGAACTGCCCCCATAGAGTTTCAAGGCTGTGGATCTTTACAGGAGCAGACAGCCTCTTCTTTCTCCCTCAGAGTGGCTGGCAGGTTCGAACCACCCCCCTTGAGATTACCGAAATCATGGACATAATCAAACCATGAGGTGATCTGCTCATGTTGCTGTCCAGAATGTTCTCCCACACGAACCTCAGCTCTGACTCATGTTTCTACATCTCCACTAAGATAGGTCCAGATGAGGGTCTTCTGTCCCGTTTCTGTGCAGCAGTCATCGTTACTCCAAGTGTTCCACATGCTCGGGATATACAGGGAGTGCCCTCAGAAGACGCTACAGCTCCCCTTCCTAAGCAATTCTGGTCTTAAGTTAAAGAGAGTTTTAAGAAAGAAACCATGTGAGCTAGAGCAGTGAAGAAGGAGGAGGAGGAGAGGGGAAGGAGGAAGAGGAGAAGGAAGAGAAGAAAGGTTTCCTGCGAAAAGCAGAATTAGGCTGGTCCCTAGAGAAGGACATCATGCTTGGTACAGCAGCTGGTGAAGGAGATGGATTGACACGGTGGCTGCAGCAATGGGGTTAAACAGGGGAGTGATTGTGAGGATGGCGCAGTAGCAGGTGGCGTTCTGTTCTGGAGTACAGGGGATCATTTTGTGTCAGAAGTGACTGAATGGTGCCAGGCAATCACAATATTGGGGATTTGAGTAGAATTATTGTCAAGGAAGTCCACCGGTGAGACGGACTGACACAGTGGCTTCAACAATGGGCTAAGACATAGCAATCGTGGTGTGGACGGCGCAGGACTGGACAGTATTCTGTTCTGTGATAACACTGAGTTGGAATCAATTCGACTCCTCCTGACAACAACAACTGAGATAGGTAGGAGGCCGAGTGGTACCGTGGTTTAAGTACTGGGCTGCTAATTGCTGGGCCAGTGGTTTGAATTTACAAGGCACTTGGCTGGAGGCAATGTGCTGCTGTAAAGCTATCCAGCCTCTGAAACCCAGAGGGGCAGCTCAGCTCTGTCCTACAGTCCCTGTGAGTTGGAATCTACTCAATGGCAATGGGTTTTGCGTGAGATATGTAGGATTTGAATTAGGGGAGGTAAGGGTAAAACTGAGGCTACAGGAGACAGTGAGTAGACTGGCTATATGTTTGGAGAGCAGCAGACGGGGAGGCTGGCTGGGGGATACAACCACCTGGAATACGAGCATCTGAATCTCACCTATGCTCACTGAAGACAGAGTTATCCAGAACAATCTTCTTTAGCAGCTCCAGCAGCTCGTGGGGCAGGTCGGCGGCCATGAAGGCCTTGATGGTGCTGGAAACTTCTTCAGGATCTTGAGTTGCTGGCAATGCTGTCTGCACCACCTGGGTGTTAGAGGTTTTATTAGTCCGGGCAGACTAGAGAAACAAATTCATAGACACTTATATGTGTATAAGAAAGAGTTTTATATACAAGAGCAATTGAATATTGAGAAAACATCCCAGCTCAAGTCCATAAGTCTGTTATTAGCCCCTATGTCTGATACCAATCTATAAAGTCCTCTTCAGACTCATGGAACACATGCAATGATGCCAAGTGCAAGATAATCAAAGGCCAGTGGGTGGAAAGACTTGTGGATCCAGTGGAGGTGTAAGCATCTCAGCGCTGGCAGGGGTCTCCACGTGGCTTTTCCAGCTCAGGGCACTAGCATAGTTCTATGTATCTTGTCAGGTGCAATGTCTCACAGGGAGTAAACAGAGAGAGAGAGAGAGAGAGAGAGAGAGAGAGAATGTCTGCCATCTCCAAGGAGGAATAGAGGAGTTCCCAGAATCCTCAGGAGAAGGTCATGCCCACACAGAGGCCTCATTGGCTATGATCTAATTGACAGGCTAGACTCTACCCTTTCACTCTTAATCCTCTCAAATTGACAAACGATTATATAACTACCAGAGAGGCATTAGAAAGAAGTGGACTCAGGAAAGATCATTCAAGGTTGTCCCTGTGACATGGAAAGAGGGTCAGGACTCCTCCGAGCACTCTGGGGACATGGAGATCCTGGGGAGAATGGGCAGTTCTCAGGGGAGTTAGAGAAAGAGCAGGTCGGAGTCAGTTACAGGGATGTCTGCTTGCTCTGTCTCAACAATCAGGTCTTGTTTCTTCCTCACCCTTGAAAGGGATGCAACTCTCTTATCTGTGCCCAGTGATTCTACTGACTTTATCCCAAAGCCAACAGCACAGTGTGCTGCACACGTATTTCAAATGCATGCTCACTTTAAGTTTTCTTCTTCCCCCTTTTTTAGAGCCACGCTTCATGGCTAACACAGCCTTCACTGTTCTCTATCACGTTTGGTGATGCCCACCAGCATCTTGGTAGCAGCTCTGCTATGGCACCGCTCCATGTCCACTGAGTCACACAGCAGGGCTACCAGTGCAATCAAAGCTCAAGGGAGTCATCTGCCCACCTATCTAAAGGCCGATGGAGACCCACACTCAGAGGGAGAAAGGGTAAAGGAACTTACTGGACCTTAACTTAACACACTGAGATGAAGACAGTGTGCTAGAGGGCACACTTCCCAAGGAGCATCTTACTAGAATACCAGCACTGTGCTCTCCATATGTCCAATTTCCACTACCCCTGCCACTGAGTGGATTCTACCTCATAGCAGCCCTGTAAGACAGGGTGAGCTTGCTCCAGAGGGTTTCCGAGGCTGTCAATCTTTACTGAAGGTGACTGTCTCATCTTTCTCCCTCGGAGGGGCTGGTGGGTTTCAACCGCTGACCTTGCAGTTAGCACCCCAATGTGTAACCAATGGGGCCGCCAGGGCTCCTTCATATCCAATTGGGGGGCTGCCAGTGCATTCAGGCATCTATCATTTTGGCCAGGTTGCCGGTATTTATTAGAGGTGGGCAGTCCACTGGCCCTATGGCTGTGGTGTGCTCCAGGGCACCTGAGACCCCACAGTCTACCAGGGAGCAGATTCTCGCAGTCCCAGTGGCAGAGGGAGAAGTTCTAGGTGAGGAGTCCTGGCGAGCAACCCAGACGGTTGTGCTTGTGAGAAAGGCTGACCTGGACACAGCACCCCAAGTCCATCCGAAGTCAGATGCATTCGCCGGCACCTGGTCAACGACCTTGAGACACTCATTCTCGAAAACCTTACGGCACTTTAGAAGCACACAGGCTGATTCAAGGGCAAAGTGGATTCTATCCATTTGCTTCTACTTGGGCTGTCCCCTCCCTAAGGTTATCTTAGGAAACCGCTCCCTCGGAGCCATACTAAGCTTGTGTTCCAGACAACGGCAGCCTACCACTGTCATTATGCACTCCAATTAGAGGGCCTGGCGGTTTGGGTCTAGTGTCCTACCAGGAGGTGGCTATGAATATTCCAGGGGTAATTATAGGACCAGCACTCCATACAGGGATGTGAAAACCAACGGGCTCTCTCAGGATCCTAGGTTTCTGGATATGGTTCTGTGCGGTGCCAAAGTCCCTCTTGCCAACATGAAAGGACCTGCAGGCCATACCATGTGGCTGGACGTTACCTGTGTGGTAGTTACATAATTTCATGTCAACTTGAAGATATCAAAGTGTAGGGGTGGAGTCTAGCCTGTCAATCAGGTCACAGCCTGATGGTGCCTCCTTGTGGGCATGGCCTTTTCCTAAGGAGGGTGCTGGGAACCCCTCTGTCCCCTTTGCTTTCACCTTCCTCCTGGCTGACGGTGGTTGCTGACGGAGCCCTGGATACGTGTCCACTGCCACGGGACCCACAAGACTTTGCACTCATTGGTGTGCATTCTGTATCATTGCACGTGGCTACGTGAGTCTGAAGAGGGACTTATGGACTAGTATCGGACTTCAGAGACTTGAGTTGGATTGGACTGGGATGTTTTCTCGATATATAACCCTTCTTGATATAAAGCTCTTTCTTCCACATATATGAATGCCACTGGATTTGTTTCGTTAATTGCCCCAGCCTAACAAGACCTTGAACGATGCCGGTGTCTGCAGGCTTGGAGGCAGATCCCTGCAGGGGTGCGAGGTGCGTCCTCTTCTTGGTCCTTTGTTATTCAGTGTTAGGGTTGTTGTTGTTGTTGATAAATGCCAGATGTGGAAGAAATGTATTACATCTGCAGAGGACAAACCTTGGAGATGGATAGGTCTGAGGCTAGTGTTGTTAAGAGACGCTGAGTAAAATCGCTTCTGTACGTTGAAAAGTACAGACTATTTAAAACAAATTGCAACACGGGCATGAAGAAATACAGGATAGATCAAAAGAAGGTGAAACTCAGATAAAGTCAGGTCTTCCAGGTTAAAGAAATGGGCTGTCAGGTTGACACTAGATACAAAGGAGGCGGATGTTTGCATTGATCCCATGTTCAGGACTGAAGCCCACTTACTGGACCAGGGTCAAACTCCCACAGTGATCTTCCCCACCTCTAAACAGTGTGCACAACAGCACAGGGAACGAGCGCTGATGACAGTGGAGGGCACAGTGTAGCAGGAGACACAGAGCTGCAGAGCACAGTGGGTTGTGAGGTACACCCTCTCGGCCAGCCCACACCTGGTCAGGAAGCTTGGGCCCCAGGGCTAAGCACCTGATCTATGGAGACCCCTGAGCAGAGGTGGGAGACGCATAAGGGCCTCTATTCCTTTGGAAATGTTATTAGGAGGGGCCAGCCTCTGGAGACGGACATCATGCTTGGCCCAACAGCGGCTCAGTGATAAAGAGGAAGACTGTCCGCGAGACGGAACGGCACAGTGACCCCAACTATGGGCTGAAACATGGCAGTCGAGAACATGGCGCAAGACCAGGCAGTGTCTCTTTTCTGTTGTCTGGAGGGTCACTATGACGTCAAGCTGGCTCGTTGGCACCTAGCAACAAGGACTGCAGAGGTGGAGCACAACAGAAAGGCTGTTAAGACAACTTTGGGAGCCACTTATCTTTATCAGTTGGGAGGTGGGTCCAAGCTGAGGGGACAAAAAAAAAAGACCTAACATTCAGGCCTGTCATGAGACGTTCTTTTATTGGGGCTAAAATGGATAAGGGCCAACTCCGTGTCTTTAACATATAACCAACCTCATCCTTGGTTCAAATCATTCTCATCGAAGCTACTTCCAGAGGGGAGAGAAGAGCATGAAAATGAAACAAACTCAAAACAACAACAACAACAACAAAAAGAAAACAAAACAAACTCTTGGCCATCAAGTTGAATACGACTCACAGTAACCTATTGGGCAGGGTCGTACTGTCCCTCAGGGGTTCTGAGACTTGTAAATCTTTACAGGAGTGGACAGCCTCCCCTTTCTCCTGAGGGAGCCACTGGTGGGTTCAAAGTGCCGACCTTATAGTTAGCAGCTTGATGCACTAGGCCACCAGGGCTTCTTTTGGGAAGAGACTAGAGGGCCCCAAAGATCTGCCCAATCATGCAGTTAATGTCTCAAACAGAACTGTGACACCAGCCCACTTGAGCCACAAGATGACGGGCGCACACACCTCAGGCACATGCAGAGCCTCGGTTCCCGTCATTCACCTGGTCAACTAGCTGTCTCCTGTACGGGTTGGTTTCCTCCAGGACGTGAGCCCAAAGTTCTGGATCCTTCCTGCGCACCAAGTAGCAGGCCTCACTTTTGAACAGAGCATTCTCGTTGCAAACCTGAAATGAACGCAGGCATGGGTGTGGCTTGAACAGTGCACCAAGCGGGAGGTGCTTGGTAGGACACATTTCTCAGTGAATTCTTTGTGTTCCATCATATGCTTGGAGAATAGATGCTGTCCGGTGATCTGGGAGGAGTAGTCCCCACCCCCAAGAGCTATATCCCAGAGCTGCAATTCACCACCAGGGGACACTGCGTTGTTGACAGAAACCTACTGCTGACAGACCTCGTGTTCCCACTCCATTGACCAAAGGGCTGCACAGAAGCAGTGCTGACCAGTGGGGCTTTGGTCAAGGATGGAGATGTCTTGGTGATGGGACAGCCACCTCCCAAGAAGCAAGAAGACCCCTGAGGGGCTGTTGCTTTGCTCCTTGGTTTTCAGAAATGGGCGAGATTTCCCAAGTGGACTTCTTCAGAGAGTCTGTTGCTAGAACTCACCCACTCCCATCGAGTAGATTCCAACTCGCAGAGATCCTACACGACAGAGCAGAACTGTCCTTGAGGGTTCCGAGGCTGTCAACCTCTCTGGGAGAGGACAGCCTCATTTTTTCCCCTTGGAGCAGGCGGTAGGTTCCAACCACTGGCCTTGTAGTCAAGTCAACACTGGGCCACCAGTGAGGCTTCTTTTTGCCGGTGGATCTGAACAGAGTGTCACACCCCCATCTGAACTAAAAGGGAAGCGTCGCCTCAGGCCTAAGATGCTGACCATCAACTACCATCGAGTTGATTCCAACTTATACTGACCCTGTCTAGATAGGGTTTCTGAGACAGTCTGGTTTTTTTACAGGAACAGACACAGCCTCGTCTTTCTCAGGTAGCGTGGCTGGTGGGTTCTGAACTGCCAACCTTGCATTTAGCAGCCTAACACCCAGCCCACAGCACCATCAGGCCATTAAACTGGGTTTTAATAGAAAAGATGCAAATTAAGACAAAGGTGACTTACTGCTATCTAACAGTAAATGGAGGAAAATCCCAGTTTTAAAAACAAACAAACAAACAAACAGATAAAGGCTCCCTCCTCCCCTGCGGAGCTGCCAGGTGAGAGGCCACGTCCATTCAGTCCATGTCCATGGTCAAGGGTCCAAAAGTGAGACTGCAGCAAAGTTGTTCGTGTTCAACTCTCCATGTTTGCCCAGAGCCCTTCCTCCCCAGTGGTTCTGTTGATGCTCATGTCAGATTCTCTGAAGGGCTGGGGACAGACAGATCTATCAGGGGGCTTACAGTCTAACAAATGTTAGGCTCAATCCCATGAGAGTTCTGTTTGCTTTGTATTTTTTGGCCCAAAGGGTAAGAAGTATTAACAGCTGAAGAAGAATCCGTGCATGTGAATTATGGCGCTGGTGCAAAATATTGAAAGCACCATGGCCTTCCAGAAGAATGAACAGATCTGTCTCGTGAGGAGTATAGATCGCATGCTCCTTAGAAGTCAGGCTAGTGAGACTAGGTGTCACGCACTTTTGACAAGTTTGCAGAAGACCCTGGTCCCTGGGGAGAAACATCAGACTTGGTAAAGTAAAAGGTCGGCATCAAATCGGAAGTCCCCAAGGAGATAGACTGACACCAAGCAACAACATTAACGGTGCGTCTGGTTCCACAGCTCAGATGGCTTATCCAGGTCACATGGAAAGAAAAATGAAACACACATGGATTCCAGCCAGGCCAGGGGCAAGCGGGAGCCCTGGGGGAATGTCTCTAGTGTTCACTGCTGGGAAGAGCGGTTTCATCTACAGGGGATCACCTGAGGAAAAGGAGTGGGAGAGGAGAAGGCGCACAGCACGGGGTCTCCTGAAAACCTGCAGGCCACTCAGGGTGGAGTCTGAAGAGGAGGCTGAGCCGGTCGGCAGGAGTAGAATGCAGAAGTCCAAAGAGAACCTCATGGGTCAGGCGAAGGAGTTCAATGTCAGCTACGAGGCACCAGGTGCAGAGAGTATGCACAGAAGTGCCACGTGAGAGTGTAAAGACGGTCATCCATCCATCTCACTGCTGTCGAGGGGATTCCTACTCACAGCAAGCCCACGGCACACAGCAGACCTGCCCCAGAGGGTTTGCAAGGCTGTCAATCGCTATAGAGGCGGACTGCCTCATCTTTCTCCCACAGAGCAGCTGGCGGATTCCACTGTCGATTTCTCTATCAGTGGCCCAACGATAAACTCATGGTGCCAAGGCATTCGACCGTGTGGATCCTAACAAACTGTGGAGAGCACTGAGAAGAACGGGAATTCCAGAACACTTCATGGTGCTCATGTGGAATCTGTACCTCGATCAAGAGGCAGTTGTGTAAACAGAACAAAGGAAAACTGCATGGTTTAACGTGTGGAGGTACGTGCATCAGGGTTGTATCCTCTCACCAAACTTATTCAATCTGTTCACAGAGAAGCTGAATGTTACGAAGAATGTGGCATGATGATTGGAGGAAGGCTCACTAATCTACAATGGGCAGCTGACAAAGCATTGCTTGCTGAAAGTGAGGAGGACTTCAAATACTTGCTGGTGAAGGTCAAGGATTTCAGCCTTCGGCATGGATTACAACTCAGTTTAAGAAAACAAAAATCCTCATAACTGGACCAGTAGGTAACATTATGGTAAATGGAGAGAAGATTGAAGTGGTCAAGAACTTCGTCTTGCTTGGATCCACAATCAATGCTTATGGAAGTAGCAGTCAAGTGATCAAATGATGCATTATATTGGGTAAATTGGCTGCATGAGACCTCGTTAGAGTACTGAAAAGCAGGGAGGTTACTTTGAGGACTCAGGTGCGCCTGACTCGAGCCATGGTGATTTCCAATCACCTCATATGCACATGAAAGTTAGACACTGACAAAGAAAACGTACAGAATCATCATTGCATTTGAATTGTGATGCAGGCGGAGAATATTCAAAGGACAGCCAAAAGGACACAACAGTCGTGGAAGAAGTACGGCCGGAGCACTCCTTCGAGGCAAGGATGGCGAGACTACTTTGGAGATATTATGGGGGAGGGGGGCTGCCCCTGGAGAAAGGACACCAAGCTTGGTAAAGTAGAAAGGAAGCCCAAAAGAAGGCGGCCCTCGGTGAGCTGGGTTGACACAGTGACTGCCAGAGATCAAGCACAGGAACCACTGTGAGGATGGCGCAGGGCCCGGCCCTGCTTTGTTGTGTACACGGTCATTATGAGTCAGAAATGATGCGATGGCACCTAACGACAACAACAGTCAAACGGGACATACACTGGTCAGCACCAGTGTCTGAAGCATAAGGACATCTCATGTCTGGAGGAGGAGCCCTGGTGGTGCTGTGGGTTGGGTGATGGGCTACTTGCCACAAGGTTGGTGGTTCAAACCCACTAGCCGTTCCTTGAGAGTCAGATGAGGCTATCTGTTCCTGTAGCTATGAGTCGGAATCACCCCAAGGACAGTGGGTTGGGATTTGATTTGGTGTACGAAGAGGGACCTCATGAGCCACCTGGGTCAGGCATCCAGAGAGCCCTGAATAACACCCCTCCCCATAGACCACCCAGCTAATGCCCTGCCCAGGAGGCCAGTGCGCCTCCCAGCAGCTAAGCTGTACCTGCAACCCACCTGGATGAGATGAAGGTCACATTGTCCCCGCTCATAGGCTACGCAGGCCAGATGGGGGTTCCTCTTCTCACAGTATCGGCCCACGACGATGCTGTCATAGAAGGCGTTCTCCCTCAGGAAATGCTCTGGGCTGCTGTTACTGTCCACGTAGATCTTGGCCAGGGCATTGTGGGTGGCAGGCTCCTCACAGCCTTCCTGAACCCTGCTCTCCAGCCACGGCAGCAGTAGCTTCAGCCTGTGGACGTCACAATGCGGATATCGGCGACATTCAGGGTGTCTCCTGGGCCCTTAGGGCTGCTTTTCAGAAACACAAAGAACCCTTCCCCCAAGTAAAAACCACCCCCCTCCCCAACAAAATCCAAACACAAACCCTCTCATCTCATTAACTCCAGATTGCTCTGGAAACAAAATACAGAACTGGTTTCCAAACTGCCTTAGATTGCTAGAGGAGCCCTAGTGACATCATGGGTTGCTAACTCTAAGGTCAGCAGTTCAAAACCACAGGCCACTTCTCAGGAGGAGGCGGCGGCCCTCTGCTCCCTTAAAGACTGACGGCCTCGGAAACCCACAGGGGCAGCTCTACCCTGCTTTAACAAGGTCTCCATGAGTCAGAATGGATCTGATGGTTGTTCACTTGTTGTTTTGTTTTTCCTTTCAATTGTTCAGTTTCTTCTCCACTGGTTTTCCAAGGCTCACTAACAACCCCCCCCCCCACCCAAACAACCTCACTGCTGTTGAGTCAATGCCCTCATAGTCAACCTACAGGACAGTACAGAACTGGCCCTGTGAGTGCCGAGGCTGTCACTCTTTATGGGAGTAGAAAGCCCTCTCTGTCTCCCTCAGAGCGGCTGGTGGTTTTGAACTGCTGACCTTATGGTTAGCAGTGCAGTGCTTAACCACTATGCCACCAGGGCTCTTCTCTGGTTATCCAGGAAAACATCAAAGAATTCGAGAATAGATCTATGAATTGGCACAAAGAAGACCGGCCTTGAGACAGAACTGAAGCCGGGCAGCTGACCCCTGAAGCATTAGAGAGAAGCCTACATGCACTGTTATAGAGGTGATTGACGCCCAGCCACCCTACAGGACAGAACGGAAGTGCGCCCTGTGATTTCAGAGGCTGTATGTCTTTACAGGCACAGGCTGTCTCCTTCCTCCCACGGAGCAGTTGGTGGGTTTGACCAGCTGGCCGACTTTTGGGCCAGGAGCCCAAAGATGACCTCACTGTGCCACCGGGGCTTGTAGAGGGAGCAACAGATGTAACCATGGACAGTAGCGCCCAAAGGGCAAGAGAAAATATCACGTTCAGATACTTTACCGGTTTCTTTTTTCGACTTCAGCCACTAGCTCATCAGTTGGAAACTGCCCTCCAACCACCATGATGAGCTTTTTAATGACCTCCTCACAACAGTCCACATCTAGCAGTCCTCCGACCACAGCTGGGGTCCGGCGAGGGTTCACCTAGGGAACAGTCAAGGTGGTGACTTCCTCACTGCAGACCCAGGTCATTCGTACCAGCCCCCTGTCCTACTACACCCTGGGCCTGGGTGACATGGACAATGATTTGAAAGGGCTCCCCTCTAATGGACAGTCTCTGATACATTGTTCAAGGTTAGAGGTGGTCTCTCAGGTATGAATGATGACCTCCCCCACCTGGCGGAGTTAGAGACAGCTGTCCCAGGAGTACCTTCTGGACGTAGATCTCAATGTACTTGTGCAGGTTGTTGCGGTAGAGGTGTAGGATGAGATCGTGGACAAAGCCGAAGCGGTCACACACAATGATGAGAGGAAGCTGGTCTGTGAGCTTGGCCTCCTAGGTCAGAAAGCAGAGGATAAATTAGGCAGAGAGGGCCCCACAGAATAAAATCCCTGAGGCCATGAGCCTTCAAGGCATCCAAATTGAAAAATTCTGATGATCTTAACTTGGAATGGATGTAGGATTCCTAGTGTGAATCTAGGAAAATCAGAAGTTGCCAAAAATGAAACGGAACGCATAAAGGTCAATATCCTAGGCATTAGTGAGCTGAAATGGACTGGTATTGGCTATTTTGAATCTGAAGACCATATGGTTAACTATGCCCAGACTGACACAGTCAAAAGCAGGGGTCCTCAAACTCTTTAAACAGGGGGCCAGTTTACGGTCCCTCTCACTGTTGGAGGGTCGGACTATAGTTTTTTAAAAAAAACATGAACAAATTCCTATGCACACTGGATGAGTCGGTTGCTAAGCTGGACAGGTAGAGGTGGCAAAAACACCAGGCGGGCCGGATAAATGTCCTCGGTGGGCCACATGTGGCCTGTGGGCTGTAGTTTGAGGACCCCTGGTCAAGAGGAATGGCATTTGCAGTCATTGTCAAAAAGGACATTTCAAAATCCATCTTGAAGTACAATGCTGTCTGTGATAGGATTCTCTCTATGCTCTATCAAGGAAAATGAAGCAACACAACTATTATTGCTATTTATACACTGACCAGAAAAGCTAGTGATGAAGAAAGTGAAGAATTCTATCAACGACTTCAGTCTGAAATTGATCAAATGTGCAGTCAAGATGCACTGATAATTATTGGTGATGGGAATGCAAAAGTTGGAAACAAAGAGGAATGAACAGTACTTGAACAATATGGGCTTGGTGATAGAAATGAAGCTGGAGATTGCACAACAGAATTTTGCAAGGCCAATGACTTGCTTGTAGCAAATATCTTTTTCGCTCACTGACTACCATTGAGCTGATGTCGACTCACAGTGACCCTGTCAGACACAGTAGAACTGCCCCGTGTGGGTGGTTGAGACTGTCACTCTTTATGAGAGTAGAAAGCCCCATGTGGGGAACAGAAGGATTTCTCTTAAGTTGTCTCCCCAAAATATGTACCAAACTTAGCTGCTTCAGCGTGACTGTTCTTTAGGCAGCGAAAGTAGGTCAGAGGTTATTCTCCTTAACATTGGCCATCTGTAGTGGCTAGACTATTAGTCTGACTCACCCTAAATAAGGCCCATTCCTTTCTGTTATTGTTCCCTCGAAGCAGTGCCCATAGGCAAGCCTGGGACCATTCTAAGATGACTAAGTTTAGGCTACTATCTTGCCACACATGCCCCCCTATTCCCTCCTCTTACTATTGCACATTCACCCCTAGGTCATCCCCCTCCTATTGCTTGTATTGCCTATGTTAATACCCCTCCTGGTGACTCAGGTTATTGTCCACTATCAGGGAACTTGCATGTCTCCCAGGATAGTAATTGCCCGCTTTATTGTATGAGACACCAGAATGATCAAACTTGTTCTAGAATGAATTGTATTGCCCCTTTCTGTGATGTATGACTCTATGATGTGTGGTTAGCAATAAATAACGAGGCTCCCTGGTACTCGAGAGGGTGGCTGGCCAGAGGGTGGCTGGCCAAAGGGTGGCTGGCCGGAGGGTGGCTGGAGAAGGTGACTAAGGAGGACGAAGCAGTGGCTTCTTCTCTGACGGCTAAGCCCCCTCAACGAGGACCATCAAGCCAGGCTGAGGTGAGATATGCTACCATGAATTGCGTCTGACTCCATTACTTGACTCTATCCTTTAACTCTCATGCTCTCTATGACTTTACTATAATCTCTACTTATTATCGCTGTACAATTGCGCCTACCAAACCTGTGATGTTTTGTGGGGGTTACCTCTTACCCTTAACCCCACAGCCCCATCTTTCTCCCAAGGAGTGCTTGGTGGTTTTGAACTGCCCAGTTTGCAGATTCCAGCCCAACTCGTAACTCCTGCGGCAGGGCTCCTTTTGAAAACACGTGTGAGTTCTAGATGGTGTGCACAGAAGTCAGATTGCCTACATCTGTGGGAAGAGATGGTGGACAAGCTCAGTATCAGCAGCTGACACAAGGCCAGGGGCTGACTGTGGAACAGCCCATCAGTGTTGACTATCAGTAAGTTCGGGATCAAGCTGAAGGAAAATTAAAACAAGTCCCTGAGAGCCCAAATCTGGCAGGAAAGGGTCATATACATGGGTTTATTGTGATACTGCTCCTCTCTTGACAAGATGGGCTGTGTGTGTGTTTAAAGCCGAGCAGCAGAGTTATTAAGCAATAAAGTCAGGACACACTGGGAACGAGACCCCAGCAGGTCTACACCACCAAAGGGCAAGAGTAGGGAGAATGCAACTGTGCCTGGAATGTGGCTCTTTGGGCGTGTTATACTTCGCAAAAAGGGGGGAAACAGAAAGGCACAGCCCTGGAAACCCTCCAGTCTCCTTACCCGTTGGTGGTTCTTTCACTGGCCCAAGTGGTTACGAAAAGAGGAACAGGAACACTGAAATGGATGTAATGTTTTGTGGAGCAGGGGCTATTTTCCAACAAATGGAAAACTACTAGCACCCAGGGGCCTATCCCCACCACCCATTTGTGGTCCTGCTGGTTCTGATTCATAGCCACCCTACAGGATGGAGCAGCACTGCTCATAAGGTTTTGGGGTTGTCCATCTTTAGAGGGGCAGACAGCATCCCCTTTCTCCCTCATAGCGATTCCAACCACCTACCACCAATCCCGTGGTTGCTGTCCCATGCTCAACCCACAGTGCCACCAGGGTTTCTGTACCACACCCTAAGCTCTTCTAGTCACAAGGGATACAGCGTTGATGCCGGCCGAGCACAGCTGCTCTGCACATACCGAAACCCACTGCTGTGGAATCGATTCGCACTCAGAGTGACTCTCTAGAGCCGAGTAGGAGCGCTCACGAGAGTTTCTGAGGCTGCTGATCTTTACGAGGGCACACAGTCTGGGCTCTCTCCCTTTCCAAGAACAGCTTCATGCGGAACCTGCTGGGCCATAGGGTTACTTTTCTTTGCACAACAGGGTCTTAAAACAAGGAACTGGAGGAGATGAGCCAGTCAGGGGGCGATGTAGCAACGATGAAACATACAACTTTCCTCTAGTTCCTAAATGCTTCCTCCCC